TTTATAGCACACAGCAATTGGTATGCTCCTGAAGAAGCATCCTTATCAAGCCAAGTACAAACTTCTGATAAACTATCAACTATTGCATCAAAGAACTCGAGGAAAATAATTATTTTGTCATGTCGGTCTACCCATCTTGTTGGACATAACAGTTTCAAACGGTTATGGGTTGATGAAGAAAATACACGCGCTATTGATTCAGATAAAACATTGTTTTTTTTTGGGGGTATTTAAAAAAAACAAACTTTTTGGATAGTTCCAGTGCAATTTCTTATAGACTGAATATTATAAGCATCTGAAATAGCTAAATTGAGACTATGAGAACTACAATGTATATAATGTGCGAGAGGATAATTTTAAGTAATATGAGCTTGGACACCATTGAATTGTCCATTGATGGACGCAGCACCATCATATCCTTGACCACGTAGGTATTTCACATCAATCCCAATTTCTTCCAAAGTTGCCAAAAAAGTAGTCGCTAATCCCTTTCCAGTGACATCACTTCAAAAAATCTTCTCTCATTATCATTTTTGTTGTGTCTAAATATCTAGCACAAAGGGAAAATTGTTCAATACCAGAAATGACTGTAGTTTCATCAGCTAAAACTGTAAAACATCTTGCACTATTTACTCTGTTCACAACTTCTTTTAGAATTATATCAAGACATACATCAATAATTTCATTTTGTATGTCTGCACTAAGATATGATGCGTTTCGAGGAGCATTCTTTAAATGGTCACCTAAATCTTTATCACCCCCTTCAACTCTAAACCGTAATAACGCTCAAAAGTTACCATCATTAGTGTTGTGTTGTAAATCTATTGGTCCCGAATCCCTATGGCCTCTTAAGGCACCTTGACGACCACACAGAAAAATAGTTTTAATAATTGGTTGTATTTTCTTACGATTTTGTTGGATTTCAATTTTTAAAACTATTATTTATCTGCACATCAATAGAATCTTTATTTTTGTTATATACAGATAAAAAATTGTCAGCATTCAAAACTGACATTTTATGGTAATTTGTATTTTCATGTTTATTGAACTCTTCAACAGCTTTTTTTCCAATTTGAAAAAAGTTATAAAACAAGTTTTCCTAATTTTTGTTTTTCACGACCTCCTTAATTTTGATTAAATAACACACAAAATCTACAAAACACACCATCTAACATCTTCGAATAACTTAACCAAGACCATTTTGTCAACCAACTTAGTTGGAATTTTAAATTCCGATGCCCGCTTTGAGGAAACTTAAAAGTACTATCAGGTTTCCAAATGGTCATTAGTAGTTCAGCACGTTTATTTGAGTGAATCTACAATAAAAACAATACAAGAAACATGCATAAGAATAAGCAACTACCTACTAAATGATAGGGTATTAAAATAGCAATAGTATTTATGAAGCATATGGTTGATAATAATATAATTTATATTCCATAATAATAATTAATAAATAATATCAAGGAACCCACTACAAATCATCCATAAAAAGCATAGTTTTTAAAATAAAATGTAAATGAATAAATATTTTTTAAAAACCTAATTAAAAAACTCATAGCAAAGCTTATAATAATAAATATCTCAATAAATATTAAATAAGTTATAACATGCCAGAATGTTGCATAGTGTGTAGGTAGCAAATTGGCATAAAGAATAATTTTTTTTTAGTTTTTTTTTCTAAAAATATCAATTAAATTTTATTTGTTGGTTTCAAAAGCTTGAAATTTTAAGAGAAGGCTCCTAGTAATTTGTTTCAAAGGCAGATGAAAAATATTAAAAATCCTTAGTCACATTTTTTTTTTATAAGCATTTAAAGATCGAATTTTGACAAAATTTATCAAAATTGTCAATCATTGTAATATTAATAAATTATAAAATGTTCAGTTTTTATAGCTAAGGATTGCAAATTTAAAACAAATGTTCTCATAAATAGTTCATACTGTACCCAAAAAATCTAAAAAATATATGAACACAGTTATTTTTTACAGACATTTTAAATTCAAATTTGGACGAAATTACATAATAAAAAAACCTAGAATAACTATTTTAGTTATTTTGTTGTGATTGTATAATATTATTTGTGGGTACTTGAAACTTCTAAAGTATACTACTATATATCTATGATAGTATCAGGGTTTGTTGTTGCCTGTTGGTGTATAACACGTTATAGGGGAACTCGGGGCAAGACGAGACACTTAGTGCTTAACTCGCTATTGTATGTTGAATTTTTAAGAAAAATTCTCAATTTATGTACCATTTATTAGTCAATGTTCATTACATTTAAAATTGTTCACTTTAAAATATTTAAAAATATTATTGAAATCAAAAAACTTGAGTAAAAAAAAACGGACTTTGTCCCATCTTGCCCACACGATGGGGTAAGATGAGACAGATAAATTGCACGCCAGATACATTTTTCAAATATATCTACATAGGAACTTATTTATAAGAATTTTACAAAAAAAAAGACATAAATATTGCACAAACATATTTTATTTTTAGCCTAACTTTGGCAATACTTGAACAAACATTTTGATACTTAAAATTATGAGCAACAACAGTTTTTAATGTAAAATTGATCAAAAAATAACAATAGAATTAGAAACTTAAAAAATTAAAAATACTTAGTACCTAGCTTTATTTAGTCTTTTAATGTTACAATATCTAAAACATCAGTCTTTAGTTGAATAATAAAAAAAAAAAATTGTCTTTAGTTGAATAAAATGTTGTAACCACTGGTTTGTTGAAACCCATAGCTCTGGCTGCTGATGTTTTTTCTGGTACTCGAAGTGATAAGTCTGGATGCCTCTTTAAAAATCCTTTGAGCCAGTCATAACCAGCTTCTTTTTTATCATTATTAAAATTATGATTTTTATTATTTTTTATTGCAAGTTGGTAAGCCAGTTTTCTAAAATCCCCTGAACTTAGACCAAAAAGTCTTCCTTCCATTAAGCAACTAAGTAAGCAACTAACTCTTTTTCTTCATTAACAGAAAATACTGTAGTTAAAGGACCCATCTTTACTTTTAATACCTCTGTATTTTCTTTTTTCTTTTTTACCTTTAAAAATAATTTTTACTTAACTTACCCAATTAACATTAAAATAATAATAATAATAATATATAATATAATATTTTTTTATATAAAAAGTAACATGGGTAATTACTAATTTATCTATTTATAAAAAATGTATAATATTATAATTATAATTAGATACCTACCATTCTTAACAGTGTACTCCTGGGAACTTCATAGGCATTTTCAGCTTCTCTGTAAGTCATAGTCTTCTCAATTACTTCATCGACAGCTTTGTTCATGGATATTAAAATTGTCGTTGACTTTTACGTACATAACTTCTAACCATTTTTGTGTAAGTAACTAATTTAATTGAAAAATCAGTAAATTTTACTAAGTAGGTAGGTACTATATTTTATAAAATACTTTTAAAAATAAACGATCAAAGTAAATGTACAAGGGGCAAAATGGGACAGTTCCGTCATACCCCACATGGCCTGTCACATTATGCCCCAAATAGACTAATTATGTTGTATCGAACAAAACTAGGTAGTTAACACTTAATAAATATTAAACAATACATAAAACTAATCTACAGAAATATATAAATATATTAGAATAGTATTCGTTAAGTATTAATAAACTATTCTTACCTTAAAATTGAGTTGAACTTTTGTTAATATTAGCCAATTTTTGACGAAAATAGAAAAACGCTGATATTATGTCATATCAAACAGTTATCATAAAATTACTATCAACATTCATCTGATATGCCTCCATAAGATATTCCAAAGAGGTTTCAAACATATTATTATTTATAGTTATGGAGGAATAACGCTGTCCCATCTAACCTCATGTACTCATCTTGCCCCGGGTTCCCCTAAGTACCTAATGGATATTGTGATATGATTAATTTGGAATTCATTATAGGTCAATTTTTTTAATACCATAGATAAGTATATAATATGTCTTATACCTAGAAGGACATACCGTCTCCGCTCAGAATCGTTTTTCTTATACAATGATATAATATCATTGAATTCAAATGTAATACCATCCATTATACAGTGACTCACTTGTAACCTATTGTACAGCAGAGCGACACCCACTTGCCCACCTTTTTCTACCTACATTTACTGCCTGATGAATCAGTAATCCAATAGGTATTCATTGGGTTAATATCAGGTATATTATCAGGATTATTACTAGTGGATTCAACATTATCTGGATTATTACTTGTAGCTTCGACATTATCAGGATTATTACTTGTGGGTTCAATATTACCGTCACTCAGGTACTGTTAAAAATAAAGTATAAGCTAATTAATATCATTTCAAAACTTTGTTAAATTAAACAATGTAAAAATCTGTTAATTTGATTAATATTGTGTTTAAAATACTACCACATAATCAACTATTTTAGATTCTGACAATTCTGGCAGTTCTTGGTCTGGCTTCAATTTCTTAAAATATCCTACAAGATTATTAGTTTGATTGCGCTTTTAGGAGTTTGAATTTGTTAATTCCATCTTGGTTTTATAGTATTTGTTAAGTACCTACTTAGCACATTAAGAGTATTGTTTATTAAAGATACAAGACATTAAATACCTTATTGTCAATTGAATAAAACAATTTATTAATTATTATTTATTATTTAAACATAAAACAGTACGAACTACGAATATTGTGATGTGATTGGATGACCACGGCTATAGATACTACCTATCTACAGTGGAGTGCAGAACATTTTTCAGACCTGAGGCAAACTATATAATTTGACCACCCACCCTAGTCCCTACAACCATCAAGTTTTTTGCTATTTTTTTTTTATTTTTTTCATTAAGAATTATAAATATTATTAAGTTTTAAGGTATAATACAAAATAGGACACATTTTTAATTTAAAAAAATATCAACCATTATATAAGATTATAAAAATGATTTTATTTAAATAATAAAGCTTCCTTTAATAAATCAGATAATTCTTAAAAATATTTAGGAACTTCATTGATACCAATGGAAATATCTTTTTCGCAGCTTATCAACATCAGGCTTTCTAACCTTTCCTGTTGCATTGTGGATCGCAGTCTTGTTTTTATCAATTTGACCTGAATGAATAAATTTATACAGATAAGTTAATATTATATTGATGTACATAATTGGTTATTACATATTGAATAATAATAATATAGATTATACTCGTATATCTAAAAAAGTGAATAAAGAGTTCAAGTTTCTTTTATTTTATTCTAAAATTTGTCATCTGGGGAAAGTATTACCTTTGAAAAAGAACGTTCAGCTGATGCAGACGATGCTGGTATTGTACCAAGTGCTTTAAAAGCTTGATATAAGTTTGGAAAAGCAGGCACTAAAGTGTAATTAGAAAATACATGAAGAATGGATTCAATATTAATTACATTTTTTGTTCCTTCGCCAAAAGAAATGTCATTAATTTCTTCATCATCGTCATCACTGCTAATGTTTGCATTGAGTAGCTCATTGTATTTGGACTCATTATTATCCCCATGTGATTTAGTAGTCAAGTTTAATCCAGTTAGTAACTCACTTAAACTACTACTAAATTGGATATATTCTAATCTTAAACTTGCTGTATCAATACCTTTTGCCCAATTAGAAATATAATTAAAACAATCTACTGGAAGTGGCTTTTTTTCTTTAGAACATTTTAATAATCTTTCAGGTGATAAAAGACATAAGTCCTTTAAAATTTCCCTTGCATCAGAGAATCGTGAATTTATTGACATTATAATTTGATCGAGATTCGAGAACTTTATAAAATATATTTTTTCTGTACCTTTCAATTTCAGGAATTTGGTCTTGTGTATTTTCACATTTTTTTTTTTATCCTCACTGATTTAAAATCGCTTGGTAAATCATCATCAAGTTTATGAGTTCTTGCAAATAATTTTGCTTCATTTATAATTGAATCACATTCTTCTTCAGAACGCATGCCTGTTCACTTTACTTTACACGAATCTACCAATTTTAAGGCTTGTATAAAATCAAGCGATTTACTTTGCAAATAATTGGAAAGTGGAGTTGTAATATTAAATATATTTTTTAGTAATATTGATAATACAAATTCAAATGTTGTTATTGTTATTATAAGACTTTTTTACTTGATCTAGAATATGTATGTATGTATGTATGTATGTATGTATGTATATAATAATTATGTACGTATCATGTCACCAATTATTTTTAATAAATTATTTTGACTTCTATTGGATAAAAACGTTAAACGGTTTTCTTTAGTCATATTATTAATTTTATCTAAATTATTATTTAAAGATGGATGATATTTACTTATTAGTTTAACTAGTTCTAAGAAATTTCCTTGGTTTTGTGAAATAATTTTTTCATCATGACCACGAAGTGGAATATTTTGACAAGCACAATATAGGTATTAATATTTGAATTACAGCTAGAACAATCTCACGATTTGTAGCAACTTGATTATTAACAGACTGAAGTAAAGTGAAATCTAAGCGTAAATTTTCAATATAAAGGCCCCGACTTATTTCAGCCTGTAAATGTTCAGGAATTGATTCATGAACTTCAAATTTTTCCAATCATTCGAGCCATTTGCCACAAATTTATTTTTTATTATTTTCGATAAACCAAACAATTTACATGTAGTACAGTAAATTTTATCCAAGATTGGTGAGTATGATAACCAGATTCTTTTAACTAATTTTCCATCTGATAGTGATTTGTGAAAATATGATTGATGAAATGATCTAGAAAAACCACTTGAATCCAGAGATTTTGGATATATTTTATTGAGCAGATCAAATGGGCAAGGTTGACATGGTCCCATTTCCATAAAGTAATGAAGTTAAAGTATGGGAAACATTATCTGGTATCTTTGATGGATCGTTTGGAAATTTACTTTCATAATTATTGCCTATAATAACACAAAGAAGTATTTTAATTTGATTAAAAAACAAAACATGATATATTAATATCAAAAAACAAAATGAAATAAATAATAAAAATTAGTGTTACATTTTTTTAAATATCAAGAATTCAAGAATAATACATCTAGTAATTTTCCATAAGAAAATATTAATTAATTTAATTTAACTATTTAAGTATAACATTTTCATATTCCACGTACCTGTCAAGTTTGTCGATTGGGTTGCCTTTGAAATTGTACTGCTTTCATGGCTATCACACAAATCTCTAACAAATTGCTCTGGTTCAATATCTTCTTAATTAAAGAAATACATATTTAAGGAAAATATATGCACACAATTTATGCCTATTAATTTTTTAAATATCAAGAATTCAAGAATAATTCATCTAGTAATTTTCTATAAGAAAATATTAATTAATTTTATTCAGTATATAAATGCATTCTGAAGCTCTGAGCTTTTCCCAAAACTAATAAATTTTTTCTAATTAAGAAAAATATGTACTTACCAGAATTATAATTTTGACATATCAAATAATTATGCTGTGTATGTTCTGTACCATTTTCTTCAATACTAGAAGGTGGAATATCTTCGTTTTTAACTTTAGTTACAAATTTACAAATATTATTTATTAAAATATTTGGTATAAATCTACTTTACCGGACACCCTTTTTTTTCAATTATTTTTTTTCAAAATACGTGGTTTATTATGCTGAATTCAAAACTGTTATGTCAATTTGTAGTATATATCAATACTATTATGGTAATGTTACTTTAGCATGGCGCCAAGTGCTTTCGATGGTGTTGGAGTGTGCGCCTGTCTCTGGGTCTTTGCAATTAACACTATGGTTAACCGTGAGATGGGTATAACCCTTTTCATTCAATCTGCTACATGCCTGAAAATTTGTATTTTAAAGACTTTATTTATTGAGTTTTAATCTCGCATGATAAAAGTTATAGTTTATAGTAGATTGGTAAAGGTAGTAGGATTTCTTATCGGTACTAAATGTTATAGTGTTATAATAGTGTCACATAATAATGTTCTTAACTATAAACTTTATCGGGCGTAGGTAGGTATTTTCCTTACTTTAAATTGTTTTGACCGAACACCTTACATTATATTGCTAAGTAATACGTACCTTCCAGCAATCAGAAATAATCGTTGTGCATGGTTTTATCCATTCTTTGATTATCTTGACCAGTGTTTCTGCGCTTCGGTCTTCCACTGGAATTAGGAAGCAATCTCCGCTTGAACGGCGCCGAGGAGCGTAGCGACGAGTGCCAATACACGCGTAATCAATGCAACTTTGAACTTCCATAACTTTTCAACGGTAAGTTTGCGGGAATATTTTCAAACAGTTTTGAATTCAGCATAAATAACCAGGTATTTTGAAAAAAAAGGGTGTCCGGTAAAGTAGATTTGTTCCTATTATATTATTACAGTACTGTATTTATTTATAGTTTGCTAGTTTGTTTAAATCCTCTTAACATATCTACATAGTTAATTCTAAATATTTGGAACAAATCTACTTTACCGGACACCCTTTTTTTTCAAAATAAGTGGTTTTAAAACTCACAAACTATAAATAAATACAGTACTGTAATAATATAATATTGTATTGTTGAAGATATTTTTCCGTTGTCCAAGTAAAAATTTAAAACAAATAAGACAAGTAGGTACCTAGAATTTATATTGTATAAGTATAATTATAATTAAGTTTGACTAGTTAGAGGACTTCTAGTTCTAAAAAGCACTAAATAGTGAATAATATGCAAGTCTAATGTCTTTATGCAATCAAAAACTCTAAATGTACATTTAAAAAGCCAAAAATATCCAATACATTTTTTTTATATGATTTTATTGGTTAAATATTGTCAATTGTATTGTAGGTACTACTTAATTTGTTAAAAGTAAACGATAACAAATAGTTTAAATAACTTTTTTATTAAAAAAAAAACATAATAATCTAATATAAATAAGTAATTGAGACAATTTGGATGTCATAATTAATAATTTACAGTTACCTTTTTTTGGAGAATCCTGTTCTTCATAAATCTTGAGTTTTTTAGTAAAAAAACTAGACACATCGTTTACAACGTTAGATTTTTTTGATTTGGCAATACTACACGAAGTTAAATGTCTTCTCCAATTGGTGTCATTCAAATTTAATCTTTTTTTACTACATAAACAATTAGAATTAGTGGACATTGTTTTAAATTTAATATTCAAGTGTTCAATATAATGTCACAAGACACAAATCATAAAAACATATTTTTACGACAAGAAAATAAAACAAATAAGTTGTATACGACAACAACATCGACGACGACGGGTTGTGATGATTAAATAATATTGGTAGACTCTTGGTAGACGGTAGGTATTTGGTAGGGGAAAAATAATTTCATGATTATGCATTTTATGCCTATTTCTATTTTTAAAAATAGATTATTATCGCAACACTTTATAATATAAAATATCATACACTACACACACACACACACACACATATTATGTATGATTAGCCATGTATACGTATTTATTAGAATCTAATAAACACAGCTTAAATAATAATAATAAACCTAATAAACCCTTATCTAATTCTGAATTTATATTTAACTCCCAATTCACAAAACGACAAAACACAATTAATATTATGAAGAAACCCAGAAATTATGATAGCATGACACTATTCATTATTATAATTTATATAATTTATTATCATTGATTTATGTATAATATTATTATTATACTTTTACAACTTTTGACACATTTATAATGCACTGATTTTAAACGTACCAACTGATTAATAACATACTTCTAGGGCTTAATAATACTATTCATACCAGCTTAATAGGTACACTATTATTATTTATTGCATTATCATTATGAATTATTAAGTCTAATGAGTTAATATACACGTACTCCACACACGTTTTTCGTACTCAATTGATACTTTAACAAACTATATACATTTATATGATATTTAAAACGTACGATCAAACTAGTGCCCAGTTCACAGTTTTGTTAATTATTATTGGTTATAAAAACTGTATTTATTCGAAGTACTAATTCGTATTTAATAGATCTAGACATCTAGTTGTACCTATAATCTATATACCTTATTATATGTATATAAGATATACCTGCTGATTATATGAATTTGTTTTACACGGTTTTATTCTAGACCGAGTATACATAGTAAATAATTTATGGAAGTATTTTGAATCTATTTTTGTGATAAATGATACAACTTACAAACATTTTTTTTGTTTTTGTTAAAATTGTTTCTAATAATCATACAATAATATGTCAGGTTACATGAAAAATCTAGTAATGGTTTAATATAATTTAATAGATCAATCATGATTCATGGGTCATTAAATCATTAGCTCACTTTTGATTCATAAATTATTGTTGAGTGATTATTCATGCAACTCGGTGCAAATTATAAAATAATAATATGCATTATGCAATAATAAAAAATTATAAAACATATGTGTGGGTTACATAAAACAACTAATTATAAGCAATTTTTATTACTATAATCTATGGTATATTGTTGTTACAGAATGTAACTTGTAAGGAAGTTGGATCTTGAGTCAGTGTCATAGACTTCTATACTATACTATATAGAACTGTAGGTATACAGTTATAAAGTATATTTATACTTATTATAAATATAGTTATATACTACTATATAAATCTGTCAAATTTTTTTATTAGGTTAGGTGATAGGTATGATTATTATATGTTTCAATAATTAACACTGGCAATTTATTTTGAGGTAAGTGAATTTTAAGTATTCATAATAAAATAATAATATGTAATGTAAAAGTATATTGTATTTAGTTCAGAATCATGTAGAACTCCACTTCAGCTCTACATAAGGCACAACGGTAGTATGGAATATTAGAATATGGTGGCATAGTTATATACCTAACTCTCGAAACATGGCTGACACAATCCTTGGTGATTACACGGCGAGGCAATAACTGTCGATGGCGAGTATAAACAAATGTAACATTTCGGCTCAATCAATGGTAAAACTGAAATGTAAGAAAATATATTTAAATTTGACACTTTGTACTATCATCTTATCATCTTAGAATTTGTTTTTAATTGGTAATTACAATTTAGGTCTTGTCTGGTTACATAAAAACGATCTGGTGGTGTCACCACTTCTTCATCATCTATTCCGTGTATCAATCTAAGACTTATAAAAAAAACAATGCTTCAGAATATAAAGAATATTGGTTATAATTTGTAAGGTACGAAAAGAATTATTATTAACTGGTTATTTCTGCTCCATTAACTCTTCTCTGAATCAACAATTCTATAGCTCTTGCTTGAAGAGCAAGATGATTGTTGTTTTGATGGTCGTCAATAGGATTCGTGTGTTTACTACTGGATTTGCTGTAAAGGTGGACTATTTGAAAGTGAGTGGTTTGTTTGATGTTGTGGTATGTTGACGGATTGTTGTAGTGGAAGTTCTGTTTGTGATGTTGATGCGAATGGTGGTGGCTCAGTGTTGGTTGTAATATTAGTATAGACAACTTGTGGTCGCCTCACACCAAATGTTGGTGTAACATGGCGAGTACTAGTTAGAAATTTTAAGATGGTGTACCGGCCTTCATTAAACAATCTCATGGCCAAATCCAACTTTCTCTGATTCTCAATCCAAACGTGACGTTGTGGTTCTCTGATAAAACCACCATCTATTGCCACATCATAGTCATTCCTTACACCAGTACAATAAGTTTTTAAAGCATCTGAAAGTTCATATTAACAAAACTTAACTAACTTATTAATAGTAGTTATTCAAAAGTCAACCTATTTTTAATAATACATTATTGGATTATTCCATCAATTATTTTTTTTATGTAGGTAGGTAGGTTAGGTTAGTAAGTCCTGAAACAGGCTGCACACCATGGGAAATTGGGAAGCAGTTTGAGACAATGGTTGATTTAATCATGGGCAAAAAGGAGGAGTTAGAACATAAGTGGCAAAGGGGCGTTCAAGTGCAAGCAGGTACCTCATGAGCTAGTAACCTGAAGACCTGAAAGACAGTTTCTGTCTAAGAAATTAATTAGAAGTTATTATTCAATAATATCAGAATATTTAAAGTACCTACCCCCACAACTTTTTAGTTGTTTGTTTTAATTTTTAAAAATTTTTTTTAGTGACTTTATTTTAGCTATTAATTCTTAAGTTAAAACCAAAACCAAAACGATTTTGTTGAAATCTGGCATTGCGTACAAATTCTGTTCAAAAACCTTAATTATTTTGGTTATTTCCACTGTTTTTGAAAACTACTAGACATTTTTTACTTTTTGAGTTCAGTCCAACTAGATTCCTTTCCTACCAGAAAGATGATGATGTCAAAATCAAAGCATCTTTACTGCCCCACATGATGAATGACAGACACAAATTAAAATTAAAAACCAATACTTTCATTGTTCCGCTCAATAGGTTGATAGTTAGTTATAATGAAAGGTACTAAGTTGGTTCAACTTAAAAGGTGCTGTTAAACAAAGAGTGGACCGCCGTATCGGCGGGTACGCAGACCGCGATTGTAGTATTTTATAGACACCATTAGCCGCTTTCTGTTTGACTGGGCCTTAAAGGTTTCTTTTTTAAGTGAAGAATTTGAAGTGAATAACAGTTACTTGTAAATAAATAGTTTTCAATTATTATTCAGGAAATTACTTAGATATTCAGAGTAATTTTTTTTCTGAATAATTATGTATATTATTACATTACTTATTTTTTTTATAATTTTAATATTAGTTAAATTAGTATATTACTTAGAAATACCCATGGTTCGGGTTGGTGATTGTTTCCAATGTGCATCTTTAAGTGTTGATAACTTACTTCTAGAACATTATTTGTTCTCCAAACAGTTCCACTCACAGATAATATATTTGCATAAACACCTAATAAAGAATTAATTATTTTTAAATTTTAATAATTAGGAAATATAAAACATATTTTATTCACCTGTTATCCAAATTGTTTTATAATATTGAAATAATATTTCAAATTGATCCTGACTCTCAATTGACAATGTCTGTTTAATATTTGCATTATAATGTATATTTATGGAGGTAAACCCTTCAATTAATTTATTTCCCGGTATAAATGGCAATGCCATTATCATATGGACAATATCATATGCTCCACGATCTCTTGTGCACAACTCAGTCATTCCTGTAAAATTAACGAAATAATTATTTTATAGATACATTTGATAATAGTGTTAATATGTTGTTATATACTATATAAAATTACCAAGATTCCCAATTTTCCTCCAAATAGCTTGACTGCTGTGAAACCAACAACCTCGGACACTTATGCCTGGAAATATAAATTGAATACCTGCCATAGCGGCTATTTCAAAATCTATGATAACGGTTTCGGGCTTCCACTGTGGTTCAATATTTAAAAGTTTTTCAAACACAGCTGCATATGCCCGAGTTGTCTTTCTTGACATTAGGGCAAAAGCAATCGGAAACCCCTGTAGGTAATAAATTTAATGCTATTAAATTAATATTGATTAATAAAACAATATTATTCAAAAAAAAACTTGACAGTTAAAAAATTCAAATATATACATATTATTTAAAGATAAATGTAAACAACTCACAGTATTGAATATAATTCCCATTATCACATATAACTGTCTACATTCATTTTAAAAATGGGGCTACGGAAAAGTTCCGTCCATTAAAAATATTTTACTATTTTTAGTATACTATATAAACTTGTATTAAACTTTGTTTTATGGACTAATATAATATTGTATATTTTTTCAGGTATATTTACTCCTGGCAAAACAAAGAGAAGGGTAACTCCTTCTTCCTCAGTATTACTAAGCATGCCTGAATACAATGGTTCATCATTAATAGTTACTAAATGAGAGTATCCACCAATTAATTGCTCATAAAATTCTTTCATAGTAATAGGATTGGTAGGCTGGTTTCGCCTCCTATACCTTTGCATGCTTCTTTTATGTGACAAAAATGATCCAACATGAACACTAATAAACTTTGCCATGGCACAAGTCTAAATTGGATAAAAATGAAATTATGAAAATATGTGTTTTACAGGATATATTTTTTAAGATATTACTTGGTGATATATATTTGGATATCCTTCATAATATATTATGCGAAGTGACGTTCCTTCATTCTGTAAACGCTTATCACATATATTTTTAAAATCAGAATCATCAAACTATTGGCTGGATGTGTTTCATGGCCGAATAAAATAATAACTTTTGAGAGGTCATTCTTCATTATTTTTCCCTTGTCCTTACATCTAAAAATTCAACATGCAATATAATTTTAATATACCAATATATAATTAAAAAGTATAATCACAAGAATTGTTCTATTTGTTTTACAATTTTCTTAATTTTTTTCTTTATATTTTATAAACAACTCAATAGTATGTAGATTTGAGAATGATTGATAGTAAACATAAAAAAAAATGTTGCATCCCAAGTTATAATTTTTACCTTGACCCGTATCTGAATAGAAATCCTGACGTTGAACGTCGTGTCTGAACGTCACCTGCGTAATCTGAATTGCTAAATATTTCTAATGACAATTGTGTATTATGATTAAAATACAAGCCATAATTAAATGTTCGTTTGACATATCGTATAATCCGTTTTACCAAGTTCCAATGAGCTTTAGTGGCTAAGTAACGACTAGCAAAGTTTACTGCATATGCTATATCTGGTCTCGTTACCTGTGATAAAAACAGTAAGCTACCTACTGCTTGCCTATAAGGTTTTTCTTCACTTAATATCTCCGATTCTTCCTTTTGTTCAATAGTATGTGATTTGTCTATCGGAATTGAAAGTTCCTTGGCGTCCAGCATATTAAATTTATTAATTATGCTACATGCATAATTTGTCTGATGCACAAATAATGAACCATTTTTCATTAAGTTTACCTGCATACCTAGAAAATATCTAAGTTTTCCCTTTTTAACCTCAAACTCTTTCTCCAAGTTCGTTAAAAGTTTCTCTATTATCTCTTCATTATCTGCCGCGATTAAACCATCGTCAACAAATATTGCAAGAATAGTTTGGCTGTTCTCAGCTTTGAATACACATGCATCCGCTTCGGTACATTGTAAACCAAATGCATTCAAAAAGTTCTTAAAGCGTATATTCCAATATCTTGGACTTTGTTTTAAGCCATACAAACTTCGCTGAAGCTTACATACTTGATTTGAGCCATCTTCGTAACCTGGTGGTTGTACCATGTATATTTCTTCCTGTAGTTCCCCGTACAGAAATGCTGTCTTGATGTCGAATTGTCGTAGTATTAATTTTTCCACAGCTGCTACTGCGAATATCGCCCTAATTTATTTGTATCTGACCACTGGCGAAAATGTTTCATAGTAATCTATACCATATTTCTGTGAACAACCCTTAATGACCAATCTGGCCATACATTTATCTATACTACCGTCAATTTTATATTTGGTTTTGAACACCCATGCATTTCGTAATGCAACTTTATCCTGTGGAAAATCGACTAGAGTCCAAGTCTGATTTTCGTGTAATGAATTAATTTCGTCGTTCATAGCATTATTCCATTCATTTTTGTTTGACCCAGTAATTGCCTCATCATAATTCAATGGACTGACACAGTTAGCAATAAAAGTCTGAACATTATACCTGTACGGCTTCTTAAGTGTATTCCTGTCACGTAGAACCATAACATTTCTATCATCGACTATGTTTTCGTCCTTCTCACGCACGTCCGTTGAATTAATTTGAGTGTCTGTAAACTCTAATGTGTCTCCAATTAAATTTTCATAATTATTACATTCGTCTTCGAATATAATGTCTCTGCACACGGATATTTTATTTGTTTTCGAATACCATACACGATAACCTTTCGTGCTGTTCGAATAGCCAACAAATATTCCTATTTCACTTTTTGGATCCCATTTCTGACGTTTTTGCTTTGGTATGTGTGTATATACCACAGTACCAAAAACTCGTAAATGTTTAATATGTGGCACGACTTTATAATATAACTCGTAAGGTGGATTACCGTTCTGTGAACTCGTTCCGGTTAGATTAAGTGTGTAAACCGCTGTGTTCACAGCTTCTGCCCATAATGACACGTCAAAATTTTTCACACTAATCATTGTCCTGGCAGCTTCTACGATTGTTCTGTTATCACGCTCGACTTTCCCGTTCTGTTCCGGCGTATATGCTACCGTAGTTTGGTGTCGTATGCCATATTTCTGTAGAATACCTGTAATATCCTTGTTTACAAATTATATCATATTACTTTATTAAAGTATATCATATTACTTTAAGTTTACTCTGACGTCTGAGCATATGGTGACCACACGGGATTTTTAGCTACAAATGCTTGCCACGCATTCAAACTTGTTTCCAACCAACCATTCCAACCGTTCCCTCCCCCCTAAAAAAAAAACTCATTATACACATACCTAAAATATTCTTACTACTTAGCGATACCTATAAACCGAGTTAACAGATCCCAGTATTCAGCCAGAATCGTTTTTCGTATAATCGTATGTAATGATTTATCCACGGACTATGATATAATATATCTTAGTCCGTGGATTTATCATTGAATTCAAATTTCATATATACATTACAGTGACTTATAGGTACTCAAGCAGACAAGGGCGTATTTGAGTTGAGACCATGGGGGGGGGGGGGCGAAACTAATTTTTCTTTACAAACTAAGGATAATTATTTACAGTTGATTACCTAAAGCTCATGTTCCTGATGCTCAAAATACGAGCTATGGGAGGGGGGGGGGGCGAATGCCCCTTCGCCCACTCAAATACGCCCTTGCAAGCAGAATAGCTAACCTACTTTTGTGAAAAATTTCATAATGGTGATATTATAATTCTAATGAAAATAAACAGCCTTTGTAATTTATAAACCATATGTTTGTATAGCCGTATAGGTCACGATTATACCTACAGTTCTTTATAATCGTGATGATTGATAAAGATATATATAATAATATGTACCTTTTTTATTGATTATCCCATAAGTTTTAATTTCAACACACATTATAGCAGTGATGCCCAACCTTTTTCCTTTGGCGGGCCACTTTGGTAAACAATTATCTTCAAGCGGGCCACAAAGTATAAAAGTACAAAAATATAATCTCATAATATATTGGACTTGTTTTCTTATCTTTTGTTGTCTATTGAAAATATTATGAATTGAGGTATATATCGTAGGTACATATTATTAGTTTAATCAGTACGTTATTTTAAGTACACGGGTGATAACGATATTTAATTGTAAAGTTTCCGTATGAAAATGTCAGACCGAAAAAAACGCAAATATACCTAATGATGATTGCCGATTGAAATTCACGAATGAAACAAACAAAACCGGTTCATAGATCGCGACTTACGGATGAACACCTTCATTCAATTTTGAGAATTGGAACCACTAAATTTCAACCAGATTTTTCATTATTAGTAAAAGAAGTACGAGCTCAAATTTCACATGAAAAATAAGAATAAAACGTTTTTAGTTATTATTATCATTATGATTGTATTTTTTGGAATAATTATTTAAACGAATTCATAAATTTCAATAAAAATAATATATGAAAATAAATAATTTAAAACTTTTTATTTTAGAAAATTATTACAATATAATGATTATAGCGTAGATAAATATGATATGAATAATGATTATAATAATTTATTACAACACCCAAAACCCCCCATGGCTACCACTGCCTGTGGTCTATGATTTAAACTTTCTATACAATTTATAACCACTAATAATTGTGGTATAAAATTATAAACACAGGAACAAATATTTTCAGTTGTTTGATTAGGTATAATCATAGGCGCCGACTACATGGGGGCTCGGGGGCCGCAGCCCCCATTGAAAAGATGGAGTCAGGGCTCAGCCCCCATTGAAAAGATTGAGATTTGAATTTCCCAAATCATGTTTACAGAATAATATATCCGAGATTCGAGAACATTGTTAATAATAAAATTACATATTATAATGATGATATGAATATTGTAACATTGTGACAGTGGCTGCACTGACTACAGCTTATCATAATTTCCTATTGAAAAATTCCTATTGATAATTCTCAAGATGTAATTCTCAAGAATTACACTTTTAAAAAATGATAAATCACTGCGTGACCTATTACCAGAATTCAATAAACTGGTAAGAATTTTACTAATTATCCCAGTATCTTCTTGTACAGCTGAAAGGTCATTTTCCGCACTTCGAAGACTAAAAACATTTTTACGATCGACCATGGGACAATCACGTTTACATGACATTTCTATGATCCATATTCATAAAGACGAAGACATCGATCTATCAATTGTTGCTAACCAATTTATTAATAAAACAAAAGTTAGACAGAATACATTTTCATTAAGTTAATGTGATATTATTAAAATAAATTAAAGTAAATAAATATTTTTAATTTATTTCGTGTTATACTACAGGTAGTATTTATTTTATCATATTTTACATATTTGAATTAGTTTAAACTAGGACTTTAAGTGACTAAAAATTTGAGGGAAACCGTTATTACTCAAAAATTTTGAGTGTTCCCCTGATTTAAAATTTAAGAGGATACAATTAAAAATATAGATATAAGTAGTCCACTTCCCGCGTCACTACTCTTTAACCACATATTTAAATTATTTTGAAGAGCAAAAGTTAAGGCTAATATGTAGCAAATTCGGCCCCCATTGGCATTGACAAAACCTGGCGCCTATGGGTATAATAACATTATATTTCTGATAATAATATGAATTGCTTGTCTTATGTCTATGTTGTATTATAATATATTTGATCATTAATTGAAGTACCTACCTACATATTTTGAGTAATTTAATAAGTCTTATAATATTACCTACATAATTAAACATGAAGAGTAGCAGATCCTAACTTATGGTTAAACTTGGACAAAGTAGCCAAAAATTAGGTTATATCTAATATATAATTTTAATTACTTACTAAATTAAATATACACAAAGTAACATTTTTATAATTTTAATTGATCTGCAGGAGTATAATAGTATCAACGTGAACAAATACGGTCAGAGAAAATAGCATCAGAAAATAAATTTATAATTAACTATGAGCTACCAAACACTGTAAGTACATTTTCTGATGTATATAATTAATTATTATTTATGTAATTATGTATTATAATAAACTATTATGAACCCCTGATATTTTTTTTAAAAATTAAGTTAGATTCAAATACTTCTTCTGTTTTTTGTGCAATTTTAAGTATAATTTATTTAAAATAAATAACATATTAACATGTGTTTTTGTAAATGTAAATTATGTAATTATTTAAATGTTGTTGAAATATACAATTAATATTTAGTACATGTAGTCAGCCTTGACACGTGTGTACAATATAGTAACTAGTTATGTACGAGCATAAGACTCACTCTCTACACGGATGTAACATGACCTCGGTCGTGCATATATATAGGGCCTTTGATGTATGTAATATTCACTTGCACAGGCGTCGTTGTACAGAGCGTATACGATGTGTGTGTACTGTCACAGTTTAATTGTCCAGTTGTACGTTATTATATATTATACTTATACATAATCATATTGTCGTGTTATTACTTATTATATTAATGCTAACATCATTAGTCCGTCAAGCTTCACTTTCAACAAATGTATTATATAATATGTAGGTATAGAGAGCCTAGATAATAATTATATATAAAGGCTCTCTAGGTAGGTACTAAAACTTTAAGTCACTTGAGCAAAGAAAAAATTCTTAAAAATCTAAAAAGATAAACTACCATACACGTTACTGTACATGGTTGTCAGCAATTTTTTTAAATTGTATACTATTTGATGAGACTGGTTATTATTTGAGAGAGGGACTTCTCCCAATAATACATTTTAAACTTACTAAATAATGATTAATATTACATAATATGAGTAGGTATTAATAATAAAATCTTACTACTTTTAGGTTGAAAAGGTAGAGGCATGGTTACAAGACCCCCAAAATGTTTGTATGGACGATTCATCGCCTAAATCTTACCATACACTTACTCCATGCAAATTAGTGGGAAAAGATCAGTCAGATGAAGGTGATACAATTTTTGGTCAAATTAATGATGGTGTTATAGAAAATCATGGGAAATCAAATTCATTTTAGTTCAATAACTTCAAATAATAATATTTTGACTGGGGAAATTGACAACTATGACTCGGGCAGTGTATTTCAAAATAATAACCAATGTTCTGAAGTATTTCAACATTTTGAAAATCATAATAATGATAACGTTATTATATTTAACAATGCAACAAATAATGATGGAGTAATTTCCTTAACTAACATTGCTGATCAAACACCTGAGTTTACTCATATTATTGAAAATAATATTCTACATCATAATTCTAATTCTTCTCAAATTGAAGATAAAGTTGTACTTCTGAAAAGGCAGAGGTTTGGTTCACTAAAAGAAGCATAAAAAAAAAGAGAAATATGGGCCAGTCGTATCATAAAGCTAATAAAAAAAAAATCAATAAATGCTAAAGAAATAAAATTAGCTTGTGGAGATATCTGTAGACCAGTGGCGGAACTACATATGATTGAAGGCGGGATTTTCCGCGGGCCTCATCGTGAAAGGGGCCTCGGCGCCCCTCAGCAAAATTATGTACTTTTTAAAAAATTTCTGTTCAAGAAAATAAAATCATTGAATACTGAAATAATACAAAGTATACTGATAAGTGATTACTAAACGTGTATACGGATAACCATACATCATAGTATTTAGTAGGTACTATTAATAATTAATGTGAATAATAATATTATAAGAGTATAATAATATTGTCAATTCTAGTTATTGCGATATGCGGGCATGCGGCGGCGTTACGTGGTAATTCGGAGTGGAGCCTATAATAGCTGGTATACTAAATTATAGAAATAGTAGATTATATACTACGGTCTCCGGCCCAAGAAAGAAATTATTTTTTTCATTTCATTCTAACGATTTTAATATGAGAGTGGTGTTTGAGGGTGTTTTCCGTTTGGTGTCAGAAACAACATCCAAGTTACTTAGGTAAGTAGTCTTACAATTATTTTGCATTGAAAGACAACATTAAATTGTGATTCGTAAACAATCATTGTGGTCATTGGTGTTACGTAAATACTAGAAATTTAATAGGTATTTAATTTATTAAAACTAATGGTTTTGAACATATTTATATATTTCATCTACAAAATATATTAAATTTTAAAGAAAATTAAATAACCTTATAATTTAAAATGTTATGAAAAGTATTTAGTACAATCACGTGAGTTGTCATATTACTTTTATTAAATATATCGTGAACTCGAAATCCCATATCCAGTAGGTATCGACAATCTTATTATTATACCGTGTTCGCAAATCGTCACGTTATATTATATATTTATATTGTCGTGGACGCGATTGTCACGTATTATAATATATTATACATTTTATTAGTATTTTTAACGAAGACTTGACTATTTTCCTTGACTCGCATTTAATATTTGTATACCTCCATCGAGAATCACTACATATTATTATTTATTATATTAACTCATATAACCGCTAAATAGCCATATTATTTATTATTGTTTTTATCTGTTGACTGTTGGGTCAAAATTGACTTAAAATATAATTTAAATTAATAAATATATTGTATTAAATTACCGTGTACGCAAATCGTTTTTTTTTTTTTTAAATAATAATTTAATTACTAGTTTCCCTGACTTATTAACGGCATTTTACTTGTTCCTTACATTACCAGTTACTGTGGAGAGTGCAGAAAGAACATTCTCAAAACTTAAATTAATCAAAAATTATCTAAGAAGCACCGTCTCCCAAACACGGCTTAGTGATCTTGCGATGGGCGTGCTAAGAAATTGAACTTATCGTTATTGGTGAAGAAGTTTGCTCATTGTAAATAAAATATTATTATTAGGGTTTCCGAAATTATAATTCAATAAATTATTAATTTACTATAAATTATATTTTATTTTTTATTGAATCCAAATAAACAGCTCAATATTTAGAAATTTAAATTACAGATATAGGGCCTCCAAAAAAAATTGTATCCACGGGCCTCAACGATCGTAGTTCCGCCACTGCTGTAGACTAAAATGATCATTGTCTATAAGTGAAATAAGTAGACAACAACTATTCAATTATTACTGACAATTAGGAAATGTAGATAGACAAAGAGATTTTTTATCTAAATGCATTGAACCTGGCAATGTACCTAAATATAGGTGTCCTCAAACAGTAACTAGAGACTTAAATTATTCATATAACTTTTGTATAAATAATATTAAACATAGTCTGTAAATTATTTTTCAAAAATACACTTGCTATTAGTGATAGATCAATTCAAACAGTTATTTCAAGACTAAACAACTATGGATTTATTAAGGATGATAAACGTGGAAAACATAAAAACCATAAAAAATTTGATTTTGAAATTAAACAAAGTGTCCGAGACCACAAAAACTCTATAAGTACCTCGTATTGAAAGCCATTATTTAAGAGCACAAACAACTAGAGAGTATGTAGTAAGCGAGTTACTAAGTAACATTTAAAGTCTCGACAGGTAATATATTTAGCATAACATATTGTAGATAGGTAATAATCAGATATGTCAAACAAGAACTAGTTAACCTTTTCGATTGTACTTAATCAAATAAACCATAGGGGAGTATAATGCCCAAAACAAAAGAATCAACAAAATTTCGATCAATCAATTACTGGCTCAAGGAGAAACGATAATCAAAATAATACCCCAACAGATTAGTGCGACTTTACAATCATGTAGAATAGGCGGATGTGTTATGCAATAGCGTTATATGACAGATATTCGATATAAAAAGGAGTATGATTCATTATAAGGAAATTGACAGTTCATAAATTAACTATCAGTACATTATGGTAATACGCAAAATAGATTAGGAATATTACAAATGCGTAGTTGGGTCGATGGCCACATACGTAGACCACATCCGTGGGAACCGAGATACAGTATCACTGGGCAAGGGGAGCGGGGACCGGACTATAAGAGGGATCCTGAAATGGCCTGTATTCAGACGTGTCCACTCATCTCTACTGCAAGCACCTTCACGAGACTCTGTGTAATAATTGTCATTTGGACTTATTTATTGGAGAACATTTAAATAAAACCTAGTTGTATTTACATCTATGTACAATTTATTCAGCCATTGCCCCATCATCATCAGCGAAACGGTCTAGCTACCTGCAACGTAAATATACGAGTAGTCACATGGACTACCAGAATGTTACAATATATTGAAGGTGGAAAATCTTTGGCTGACTTATATAGAGATTATTCATCTCTCAGGATAGAAGATCAATATCCTCAAGAAAAAATAGCTAATTTAACCATGTACTCAAGAATGTTTAATACAGAGTTTAATATTTCTTTTTGTGTTCCCAAAAAGGACCAATGTTCTCATTGTGAGTCATACAAAAATTCTGATGAAGTTGAAAAAGTACATAAAGATGAAAAGTATCAGCTACATTTGTCAGAAAAAAATCTAAGTAGAACAGAAAAAGAAAATGATAAACATTTAGCTTCAAATGATATAAATAGAAGTAACATATTGTTAGCATGCTATGACCTTCAGGCTGTACTTCCAACCCCTAGGGTTGAAGTATCTGTATTTTATTATAAATCTAAATTATCCACTTACAATTTTTCTATATCTGATATTGTAGAAAACAATCATTTTGTTATGTTTGGAATGAAGGTGAAGCAAAAAAAGGAGTAAATGAAATTGGAACATCTATAGTAAATTTTTAAAATCTGAAAGTAACAATGGAAAAACTGGTGTAATTTTTTACTCAGATAACTGTGCTGGGCAAAACAAAAATAAATTTATAACATCATTATACTTGTACGCCCCTACAAATATGGATATTAATTCGATTACTCACAAGTTTTCAGTAGTTGGACATACTCAAAATGAAGGAGACACAGCACATTCTGTCATAGAAAATCAAATTTAAAAATTCTTAAAATCTGGGCCTATTTATTTGCCAACACAATATGTATCATTAATTTTTATGATATAAAAAACATTACATAATGTAATAAGAAAAAATTTTCTATAAATTATGATGGAGAAAAAGTAATTTGGAACGATATCAAAGTGTTGAGAGTGGAAAAAGCACAACCAAATACAATTTTATACAAAATCAGTTATTGAGATACAGAATTCAAAAAAAATAATTTATACCATAGTGGTGTCCGCAATACACCGCAGATGGATTTTATACTTGATGTACCGTTGCAAATTGTACCAGGGTGGCTGAATGTATACTGTTGCGAGTTACATCCAAAAGGATTTGAACAATCACACATTTTTAATAGTTGTTATTTTTTAAGGGCAACGAAGTGCACGGGATCAGCTAGTTCAGTGCTTCTCAACCTTTTTTATTATAGGGCCCCCTAAATTTAATGTAAAACTGTCAAGGCCCCCCTAAATCAGAATCATTAATTATGTTTTCTTAATAATATACTAAATTTACATGCACTATTTCACACAAATAAATTATTAAAATGTAAATAAAATAAATGGTTTTAAATATATTTTTCAAACATACAATCTTATAGTTGTATAAAACTTAAAACATATATAAACAAAAAATAATTGGTAATAACTATAAAGCAATACAAAAATATTCAGCAATAATATTGATTTGGTTTCAAACACAGGCTAGGCTTATAATAATAATAATAATAATAGAAAATGTGATGATTATTAATGTGACGGTTGGGCTTGCATATTTTCGCATAACATATTTATGTCAGGTGTGATGTTTGAAACTGAACTATGCAAGTTAGCTTCTAAAGACTGTTGTGAAACGCATGATCTATGTTTGTTTTGTATAATTTGAAGTTGTGAAAATGCAGTTTCACAAAGATATGTTGATGTGAAACGTATTAATATAAGTAAAGTCGCTTTTGAAATGCCTCCAGAGGGAGGCTCTTCTCTGCTTACATCAATGACATGCCCCAGCACAAATATTCCAAGACGGATTTTTTTGCAGACGATACAATGTTCTACGCTTCCGGACCCACCACCAACTGCACCATCAAAATACTACAAAACCAAATAGACCTAGCCTCCACATGGTTCAAAAATTGGAAAGTAACAATAAACCCTAAAAAAACCACAGCAGTTCTGTAGGCATACAAAATACCTTATCACACAAATAACATACAAATAGAAGGCAACACCATAAAATGGTCCACCAAAGCCAAATACCTAGGAGTAACAATTGACTCCAAACTACATTTCACTTCCCACATCACAAATACAATAAACAAAACCAAAGCTGCAAAACACTGCCTATTTTCTGTCATCAACAAAAAACAGTCCGATTCCCCTAAAAATGAAATTACATATATACAAAACCTACCTAAGGCCAATGCTTATATACGCAGGACCAACATGGGTCTCCAACATTTCCCAAAATTCTTGGAAACAACTGGAGAGTACTCAATCAAGAATATTAAGAACCATCACTGACAGTCACTGGTTTGTCAGAAATACAACCATCAGGAACTCTGCTGAAATCCCATTCATCAGACATCACATACAGATTGAAACATCAAAATTAAAATCCACCATCTACAAAAAATTTCTACACATCTCAAATATTAGCACAAGAACCTCACCTAAGTAACTACAGTGGATTCCGCTTAATATGGGCACGTTGGGACCAGCCCTGTTTGCCCACATTAAGCGGTTGCCCATTAGAACTGAAACATTTGTTTTGGGACCAGACAATATGTTTGCCCACAATAAGTGGATGCCCGTATTAACCGGTGGCCATATTAAGCAAAATCCACTGTATTCATAAACAGACCAATCTCCTTCTAAACAGAAAATAGCTAATTCATGAACCATATCACGCCCAACATGAAACCCTCTGAAAGAAGCATCAAAACTTGGAACAGAGAAACTAAAAACAAAGCAATTCAAATACAGATCATCACCAGCAATTCTCCAACCTTCAAGACATAAAGACTATAAACAATTCATAGCTGCTGTCACTTGAAAACGTAGAAGACCACCAACCACCGCGCCGGAGCAGTAGAACTGCAGGAGGCGACCGATAATACCAGCGAGCCCCTGATGCCACCCGAGAACCGGCTACGACGACCGGAGTGACGAGATGAATATCCAACCATCATACGCCGTTGCTCACATGCGGTGCAGAGGAGTCGCGGATCACACGGGTGAACCAGCCCGGAGATTCACGATTCCGCATTACACGATTCCGCATTACACGATTCCGCATATACCTTTTACAAAACTAATTTGCGACGTTACCGATTGTATTATAAAAATTATTTTATACTTACATAAAAATGGTTGATGATAATATTACATACAACTTATAAGTCATTTTAAAACCTTCGACCATTTAAGATTATAACATTATTTTGGTTTTTCCTCAAATACTATCTTGTCTAAATAGTCTACAGGTCTACAGTGTAATACATATATGTTTTATCTGGACTCATCGGTTACCTGTTCGATAACCGTTCGTACGTATATATTGCGATCGCATTATTGTGTTTTACTATTGTCTAGTAACTTGTAAATTGTGTGTGAATTTAGGAAATTTAAAATTAATAATTTAAAAAATTCAGAAATTCGTATTATAATGTCAGAGGGAAATAAGGAACTAGCTGTTGTTAATGATTATAAACATAGATTTGTTGGTGTTCGCAAATGCGATCAACTTTTAAAGTGGCGCTGCTCTTCTGACAAAAATTGCACCACTTTTATTTTTTCAAATTCAGAAAAAAAAATAGTTCTTGACTCAAAAGGTGAACATAATCATCCGGATGACACTCCTAATAAAATAGAAAAACAAGTACTCACAGAAAATTGTAAACGACGAGCAGAGGAATCAGTTTCTAGTAAACCTTTCAAAATTATTTATACGGAGTTACTCCAAACTCCAGTGTCGTCGGCAATAAGACACCGTGTCATTAAATCCGTAAGTAAAGTAGTGTATGATCAACGAAGAAAACATTTTCCTGTACTTCCATCATTATGCTTTACAACAACTGAGGATTTTAAAATCTGATAATTGTTTCACGTATAAAAATCAACAGTTTATCTATGCTCCGGCGGATGCAAATTTTATTTGCCTTAGAATTGTTCAAAATATTAACTTCTTGACTCAATTTTGTTCAGAATTATTTTGCGACGGAACATTTGACTATTCACCTAAGTACTTTTTACAGCTGTATACGATACACAGTTATAAAAATGGATTTTATTTACCACCAGTGTATATATTTTTTAAAAGACAAAACTCAAAATACTTACGTAGATTTATGGAATTATTTTCGACAACTTGGTACAAAAACCAGCAATAAAATATTAGATATAAAAAAGCTGGTATGTTTATGTCGCTCTGCTGTACAGTAGGTTACAAGTGGGTCACTGTATAATGGATGGTATTAAATTTGAATTCAATGATATAATATCATTGTATAAGAAAAACTATTCTGAGTGGAGACGGTATGTCAGTCCTAGACTCTAGGTATAAGACATATATACTTATCGATGGTATTAAAAAAAAATTGACCTATAATAAATTTCAAATTAATCATTAGGATCTTTAATGAAATCATTAATCAATATCCATTAGGTACTTATAACGCAATGTAGGATCAACGAAGAAAACATTTTCCTGTAATTCCAACATCATTATATAATGCTTTACAACAAATGAGGATTTTAAAATCTGATAAATGTTTCACGCATAAAAATCAACAGTTTATCTATGCTCCGGCGGATGCAAATTTAAAATAGTTACTTATACTTTTTATAGGACAACTAATGGTCCTGAAAGCTTTCATCACACATATAACGGCCAATTTTATCACCCTCACCCACATATCTATTTAGTTTGATGGAATTTCAGTCAGAAACCGAAACTAAGATCAGATCAATTACTTTGTATAATGATCGGAAAATATTGAACGCGAAAGAAAAAGAACGTATGGAATTCACCATCAATGCATACAATAAGTATGAAACACATCAAACCAATATAATTCAATTTTTATCGGAGGTGGGTCTTCGTTATCAAGGAAAAAAATTGTAATAATTTGATTATTTTTGTATTATTTTATTATAACTACTAGATTCCGGTGTTTGTCATCCCGCCTACGGCGGAAAGACTGTGTGGGCGGTGGTGCATCTTTGTCGGCGATGCTGGGTTTTTTGATCCAGCCTGCGTCGGGAAGGGGGGTCGTCGGGTCTTGTGTTTTGTCGTGTTGGCAGCACTGGTTAAGCGGTAATTTTTGAACTCGGAAGAGTGTCTAGTCGTAAGTCACGCGATTCAAGTCGATCGTAAGACACAGCCAGCCAGGTAGGCAATCCGACTACGTCGGATCGCAGACCATGCACCGGGCGTGTATGTCCGGTTCTCGTATGTGTGTTGAAATCGGAAATTCGGGTTCTCTGAGTTTGAGTGTCTAGCTATCAGTCATCTCGATTCCCGAGTGTCGGTTGCAGTGGGGGTGTAAGTCGCTCGTATGCAAGTAGCTAGTCAGGTAGGCAATCCGACTACGTCGGATCGTAGACCATGCACCGGGCGTGTATGTCCGGTTCTGGAGTGTGTGTGTGTTGAAATCGGAAATTCGGATTCTGAGTTTGAGTGTCTAGCTATCAGTCATCTCGGGTGAAAGTCGATTCCCGAACGGACAATCCGCCTACACCGAAAAGTGCTCGAAACGGCCGTTCAAATCTGATATACCTACCATGTATATTTATTTAATTATGATAATTAAATCAAATTAACAAATAGATAATTATATTGGTGAATAACAAATTTTATTGAAATCTAATACAATCATATTAAACGTAGGTATGTATAAATGAATACACTATACAATTTTTTGGCACTTATCTTCGTAAGTACCTACTATCATAATATTTTGCTGTTATATTGTATGTCTGTATATAATATATGATGTACCTACTTACCAATTTATTAAATGTCATATTATGATGTTTTAAATTATTTAGTAATTATAATTGCATAATTATAATGGTGCATCACTGTGTTATGACTTATGTATTATGTGTATGAAAGTGTGTATGAAAAAATCGAACTTTTTGTCGCATATTTTCATTTCCGTATAAAGTAATAACAACACTGTCCGCTCCCCGATCTCCTCCGCGGAACTCGACTCGAGCGAAGTACTGGCGACGGCGGCTTATAAATTTAGCGGGGAATGCCAATAACATCCAAACAGGCAGGGTAAAACCCCGAAAACGGGCCAAGAAACGAATTTTAGAAAAAAACAGCAAAAAACGACGCGTTGCATGTATTTATTGCTGTATATAGCCATACTTACACGGTACCTACTCCCTTTTCCGCGACGCCGCTCTTTCCCGGGACTCGTCTGTGAAAAAGTAGGGCCGCGCACCGGCTATAAATTTAACGGGGAACGCGAATAAGATTCAAACGGGGAGGGTAATACGACCAAAAGGAACTAAAACTAAAATTTTTGAAAAAAAAAACAAATCGAACTCTTCGTCGCATAATATATTCACGCCCATGTATAGTAATAAAGACACTGTCCGCTCTGCTAAATCATTTGACGGGGAACGCGAGTAAGTCTTCAACAGGGAGGTCCGAAGTCAGTAGAGGCGTTAAAACTCGAATTTTGAAAAAAATCGGAACATTTACGTTAAAAATGATAAGACGGAAGTCATAGCGAACGACGAAAAAAAAAATTAATTTATCACGGCCGCCGCAAATTATCGTATATTCCCGGGGGCCGGGGGGTTTGAACCCACGACCCTCGAGTCACCTGTTCTAACGCCTAACCTACCTAACTACCTACTGAGATGAAAACCTGAGTCAAATCTATGACTCTTAAGCCGCGTTGCCGTCCCCGCGAAAGGCGAACGCCGTTTAGAAGAGGTTCAAAGGGAGTTTGAGCGGGCGATCCGACAGCGTTGGCGAGTGGACGACCGTCGCGAGATTCGCGAAGAAAATCGAACCTCGAGACGCATGTAGCGATACCATACACGGTACCTACTCTCGTTTAAGCGACGCCGCTCCTTGCCGCTCCTTGACTCGTTTTTGAAAAAGTAGGGCCTCGCGCCGGTTATAAATTTAGCGGGGAACGCGAATAAGATCCAAACGGGGAGGGCGATACGACCGAAAGGGGATAAAACTCGAATTTTTTAAAAAATACGGCAAAAAACACGCGGGCCGGCCGGGAATTAAGTAGGACAGCGCGCCGTCTATAAATTTACCGAGGAACGCGAATAAGGTCCAAACGGGCCCTCCCGAGGCACCCGAGGGGGGTAAACCTCAAAAATGTTGAAAAAAAAATGTGAAAAATGGTCAAAACCGTGAAAAGTGATAAGGAGGAAAGATAACGCAGTGACGGCTCCCCAAAAAAAGGGCTCGACGCATGTATTTAATATTTATGCCTGTATATAGCGATACCTACACGGTACCTACTCTCGTTTCCGCGACGCCTCTCCTCCCCGGGACTCGTCTGTGGAAAAGTAGGGCCGCACGCCGGCTATAAATTTAGCGGGGAACTCGAATAAGTCGTCGACGGGGAACCGAAAGGGGCTGAAACTCGAATTTTCGAAAAAAACGGCAAATGGAGCAGTCATATAGTCGTACTATTTTTTAATATAGTTTATTAATATCGTATTAAACAGTATTTATAATCTATAGCAGTATTTAACCCAATCGTAATCACCTAAAAACTGTAATATATCAAGTAGGTACTACATTATAATTATTTTGTAGGTTGGTCACGGTAAAATCAAGTATTAATTAAATGTTAATTATTATTTATTTGCAAAATAAATATATATAAATACCGATATATATAATATTATAATAACGCGAATTTTGAAAAAAATCGGAACACATGATTAATGTGACCAAAAAAAAAACGCGAAAAAAAAAATTTCCATCTATCACAACCGCCGCAAATTTTCGATTGTCCTGGCAGCGGTTTCGAAACCACGACCCTCGGGTCACCTATCCTAACGCCTAACCAACCTAGCCACCTACTCAGATGAAATTCCGAGGCAAATGTATGACTCGAATTTTCGAAAAAAACGGCAAATATAGTCGTACTATTTTTTAATATAGTATTTATAATCTGTAGCAGTATTTAACCAAATCGGAATCACGTAAAAACTGTAATATATCAAGTAGGTACTACACGTAGGTTAGTTATACGTTATTATAATGTGTTAATAAAAGAAACATGTAGGTGCGTCGGTAAAATCAAGTATTAATTAAATGTTAATTTTAATTATTTTTTTGCCCAATAAATATCGTCAAACGAATAATAATAATATATATAATATAATAATGCAAATTTAAAAAAAACATGTAGGTGCGTCGGTAAATGTTAATTATAATAATTTTTTTGCCCAATAAATATCGTCAAACGAATAATAATAATATAATGCAAATTTAAAAAAAAAATTAACACTTTCGTTAAAAATAATAAATGTGACGAAAAAAAAAAACGCAAAAATAAGAAATCCGATTTAGTACGGCCGCCGCAAATAACCGAAAATCCCGGACGGCGGTTTCGAACCCACGACCCTCGAGTCACCTATCCTAACGCCTAACCAACCTAGCCACCTACTCAGATGAAATTTCGAGGCAAATGTATGACTCTTAAGCCGCGTCGCCGTGCTCGCGGCGATAAAATAAAATTCTTATCACTTTCCTTATCAATAAAAACAATATTTAAGAAAATCCCAATAAGTCCTATCAAAAACTCAAAACCCCGAGTTTCCCCTTGGCGAGGTGGGTGTTAGTACTCTCCCGGACCAAAATCCATCAAAAAAGCAAAATCCAAAAAGGGGGGGAGGAGGTGCCCCCGTTCCCTAAAGCGGAAAACAATAGTATTCATAAAAAGAATGGGTTCCCCTTGGTCCGAGGTCTTTAACTTGAATTCCGGCCGAGTTATACTCAACTCAAAATGTGGGGGGGGTGGGGGCTTTGGTTCCCTAATGTTGAAAATTCATCTGGGGCCTAAAAAATTGAGATGCCCATTGGTACGGGGTCTCTAAGTCGAATACCGGCTAAGTTATACTTCGTCAAAAATAATTACTCGTTTAATGGGTCCCCCCACTCCGCCCGACGGTCGCGGGGTAATCGATTTATAAGACGTTATTATCACGTCAAAAAATTGAAAAACACAGGTTTTTTTTTAATAATAATAATAATGTTCGAAAATATTCGTCGATAAGGAAATGGGAGATAAGCGAGCGGAATTTATAGCGAACGCGCGGGAAGTATTGTGATTGGTCGTCATGGAAGAAACGCGGAGTGCCGTCAGCGCTCCCCGCGGATCTTATACGCGTTATTAGCGTTTTATTATATAAGATTATTATTATATATTATTATTCACGAGATAATTGAAATACATTTTTCTACAAAATGCATATTTAATTATTTGTTTTATTTGATATTATTAATTATTTTTATAATTTTTTTTCCTCAAACTGGCAACGTCACCATCATCCCCATACCTTGTATATCAACATTATATAGAAATAAAAACACTTTGATTACCCGAAATCACCTGAGTGTTACAATTTCTGTAAAGTGACAGATATTCGCCCACGGCGGCAACGTTACATAGTGTATATCTAATAATTATAATATTATATACTTTTAAACTAATATTAAGTACTCTTAGTGTAACTATATTGAACTACATTTCACATTTACTAACAAATGAAACCCTGCACAAAGACCTAAGAATTCCAACAGTTGACCAACTAGCTAAATTGTATTATAACAGATATCATTATAAACTGCAACACCATCCAAATCCTTTAGTCACTCACCTAGCATCATGTACTCTTCCTGACAACCCACCGCGCCAGTGGCGTGCTCACGGGGATGATGAGGGTGTCATATCCCCCCCCATTAGATTTTTGTAATGATTTATTATCTACATTTATTATCTACATACCACTTTTACGAATTTTTTTTTTTCCAATGTGGTGTTACTGTTTTTCTGGTTGTCCGGCGACGCTGATTGTGGCATTAATCAAACAAAGACGTTGTAGACTATAATATTGAGTTACTACGTTTTAATTTGTTATCGATCTTCGTATGCGTAATAATTTCGTTCATTCTAATGTTATTCAATCATTCATCGTTTACTTTTGCTAGAACCATATTTTTTGTACTTTTACACTCAATACTCATTGTTTCATAATAAAAAAGTAAGTAAAATTATAATGCTAAATCACAGTGATAATGTAAAACTAATACCTCAGTCAACATCAGAGATGCATTACAACGTACAACGTTTGATTTAGAACAAAAAAAAGACAGTTATAAACTATAAATTATAATTGAACCTTTCATTAAATGTGAATAATAATTTTAATTTGCACACTATGACATATTGTTTTATAACTTCATTTAACATTTGATTTCCTGTTTCATCATTCCTAATAATACATATATTTTCAACAGGTTTTTTATTAAATATACATTATAAAATAAAGTACTGTATAAAGAAAAACATTAAGGCTTACAAATTGACATCAGGAACACTATGAAAAGGAAATTTAACCATTTTGTCAACGTTATTGTGAATAGCCTCAAACATGTCATCCTCATCCTCATCAATTAATTTCATCTTAAACAATTCAGATGATAGATTTATATGTCTTATATGCCAATGGTCCGACATTTCCAAATCGATAAGGGGGTAGTTTGTATAACCTTTATAAAAGCCGTATTTCAAATCCCTGTAAATACTATGAATTGAAATATACAAGTTTGTTTTATTTTATGTTTATATTTTTTACTCACTTAATTTCATCATATTCCATGATTGATAATAATTGTTTTGATTTTATAATATTTTCAATTTTTTTTTTATAGGCGACTATGAATTGTTTATTTTTCTTCTTTAAAAATTTATTTGAATTATAAGTGCAGATCTCTATTATTTTTGTTTTGTTTTCAATATAATTATTATTTTCTAATTTCTCGTTTTTAATAATTTGGACAATTTTATTAATTAAAGGATAAGTTGGATTATTTTTTGCATTTTGAAGTATAGATGATTGTAATTCTAGACTGTTGGTTAATAAATGCCCCTTCACATTTGCATACGTATTGTTTTTGTTTAATACGGTGGTGAGCAATGGAATGTCAACGAATGCGTGGCCAGAATTCCATAACTCATTCATAGCAAGTGATATGGAATTTATGGCCTACTCCAAAAAAAAATGTATGTTAATATTTGTCTTAGCATTAGTTTTATACAATTAATCAACATTTTTACTTACCTTAGACTTTTCGCTCAGTTTAATAAATATTTGTTTTTTTTTAACAATGTTTTTCCTAATTTTACCACCTCTATTCCTCCCCAATACCGGAATTGGAAAAATATCCTTGTACTGCAATATGGGAGGTATTTTTTTTTCTGTTACTAAATGATAAATAAATATAATAAAATAATAATTAATAAATTATAAGTAATCCCGGGACACCGGGAGTTTTCACGATGCGCCCCATGATCAATTTAGAAATTAGCACCCCTTTTCCCTTTTTTTTTTTATTTAATTTTAATATAACATTGTTTGTATCAATATTTTATGGCATAAATTAATTTGGAGCTCCACTCAGTCCACTCGCTATTCGCCAACAACCTTTATTAATTAACCACTGCAACTCTTAGTAATGGTAAATAAAATCTTAGTAATGGTAAATTCACTTTGAACCTTCACCAAAAATACAATTCTTGTACCACCTTTATAAATAGCATATCTATCGATTGGTATACACGTAGGCTACACGGTGTAAAAGTTTCAAAGTTAACAACTAAGAATAACGCCGTCCAGGACTTATATCTGAGAAAATGATATTTTTAATTGCAACCCGGCGGTAAATATCATACTTAGCTGCCGGATGGCCGTCCTAGAGACTTAGGAATTTTTTTAATATAAAGCCCAGATAGCTGAGGTCCCCCCGAATGCAACCATACCACTTGCAGAGTTTTAAGTGCAAAATTCGAATTACATCGATATTTTTATACAGATGTATGTAAAAATTACGTAAAAATAAATTTAATCATTAAGTGAAATTTTAGCCCCTCGTGATCTACATTTTTTCTCAACTAATCTTATAGAACATGACCCGGGGAGCATTTTTGGTCCTTAGGTAGGGTGTCGAGAAGTCATTACTTACGGAGGAAAATTTTTTTTTTTGACTCATATGTTCTGAACTTGGGGGGGGGGGGTATCGATCACGAAGAATTAATTTCCCCTGAAATTTGAAAGCGGCAAACTCTTCAGCGTATCGTGCTCTATAGAATTCAAGTGTTAAATTTCAACATATCACAAAGTAAACGACCCTTGTATTCCGGGGGTGTGTAGGAAAAGAGCAGAACCGTATTGTAATATTTAGTATACGCGACTGGTCTGTTTCTACATACCCCCGGAATACAAGGGTCGTTTACTTTGTGATAAGTTGCAATTTATGACTTGAATTTTATAGAGCACGATTCGCTGAGTAGTTTGCTGCTTTCAAATTTTAGGGGAAACGAATACCGCGGGAGTATTTGGGGGGGGGAAGTAATGATTTTTTTTTAATTGCAACCCGAGGTTAATCTCATACTTAGCTGCCGGACGGCCGTCCTAGAGACTTGGGAATTTTTTCAATGCAAAGCCTAGATAGCTTAAGTCCTCCCCAATCCAACCATACCACTTGCAGAGCTCTAAGTCTAATACTCGAGTTAATTACGACCGTCTAAACGCGACTATATTCGTTTTACCGCAAGATTGAGTGCATCCCGGCGGTAAATTCACTTTGAACCGTCACAAAAACTACAATTTTATTGTTGTACCACCTTTATTAATAGCATATCTATCGATTGGTATACACATTGGCTACACGGTGTAAAAGTTTCAAAGTTAACAACTTAGAATTACGCCGTCCAGGACTTATAACTGGAAAAATGATTTTTTTTAGTTGCATCCCGGCGGTAAATATCATACTTAGCTGCCGGACGGCCGTCCTAGAGACTTGGGAATTTTTTCAATGCAAAGCCTAGATAGCTTAAGTCCTCCCCAATCCAACCATACCACTTGCAGAGCGCTAAGTCCAAAACTCGACATACTACGACCGTCTAAACGCGAGCTTCTACGATTAACGGAAAAACAGATATGTTCCAAAGGGGGGGGGGGGTATTGAGCACATTTACACCGGTACAGTATTTCCACTTTGAACCGTCACAAAAACTACAATTCTTGTACCACCTTTATTAATAGCATGTCTATCGATTGGTATACACGTTGGCTACACGGTGTAAAAGTTTCAAAGTTAACAACTTAGAATTACGCCGTCCAGGACTTATAACTCGAGTATTGGACTTAGAACATTGTTATGCGTTCCAACGAGTTTGATTGCTTTCTAACAATTAAATACTTTTTGGAAGAGGAAGGGGTCGAAATAAATGAGGTTTTCATTGAGGAAATGATTCAGCACCTCACTGGGTTGAATGAAGGATTTAACCAGTATTTTCCAAATGACCAACAGGTGAAATATAAAAATGAATTGTGGATTAAAAATCCATTTATTGTCAATACACGACCTCCAGCCATGTCAGTAAAAGAATATGAAACCTTCATTGAATTGACATCTGATTCATCACTGCAAGAAAAATTTAAAACAATGCCATTAGCAGAATTTTGGTGCAGTTCAAAAGATGAAAATCCTCAATTGTCACAATAGGCCGTGTTGGCACTTTTACCATTTGCAACAACTTATATGTGTGGAACGGAGTTCTCCACCAATGTATCGACAAAAACAAAATACCGCAACAGACTTAATGCTGAACCTAATATGTTAATACAACTTTCATCAATAAAGCCCAATATTAATAAAATTTGTAATGATAAAAAGCAATTTCACGCATCTCATTAAGTAATTATTATTAAAGTAATATTATATACAATTATTATTTTTTTATTATTTTTTTTAACATATTTTTTAATTAAAGACCTGTAACACAATACTAGTATATGAAATAATTGTATTTTTTTTTTTTTGCAAATAATCCTAAAAAAAATCTTAAAAGCTAAAAAACAAAGTAGGGGTTCCACGATAAAAGTGGACATCAAAAAGGGTTCCACGGATAAAAAAGTTTAAGAAACGCTGGTTTAGACAATGTAAATTGAAAAACATCGCTATATCTATTATTACATTAAAATACATAAGACTTATCCCCAGAGTTAATTATGGTTCTGTGTCAACATTGAAAACTGCTGAGAAACCAGTCAATTTCCTTTTTGTTGGTGGTTCATTACATCCGCTATTCACATTTGTTTTTGATTTCCAATGAGTCCAATCCTTTTTACAATTTTCTTCCATAATTTCTTTAATTTCATTATCGGCAATGCCAAACTGAATGGGATGAAATTTAAATCTAGGATCCAATACAGTTTACAATTTTAATATATTATTATTTGTGTAACGTGAATTTAGTAAATCAATAACATCTTTCAACAGTTTTTTTTTTTTTAAATCAACATCTATACTATTATCTTCAATTACTACATCATCAGCATCGCATTCATTTAGTTTAGTTGTAATCATAGTAATGACAGGAAGTATCACCGAATCTGTAACGTATGATTCCCTTCCAAGGTTATCAGATATATTTCTGATAGGCTGAAGCACGTTTATCAGTGTTTTAAGAATTGTCACATCTTATACTGTATATGTTGTATATGTATATGTATGGTAATGGTTATCATATTGGATTTTTTCAACATGGATCCAGTTGGAAGGGTATACTACAAAATAACATATTTCTCTCTGTGAAATATGTAACTGTCCCATGATTTGGAAAAAATATGCATGGTCGTGTTTTAGTACAACCTTGTTATTAATTAAACTGCAATATTGTAACTAAAATATTTAAAAACAATAAACAAATCAAATTATAATATTTTTACAATAAATTTTTATCTTACGAGTTTTTTTTCTACTGCGTCAACTGCACTAACAGTATTTTGTGCTACAAACGGGCATTTTATTTCTACAACTGCATTACTTCCAACCAAACCATCTAAAAATATGTTGAAACAATTAAATTAATATTTTTTATTCATATTATAATATATATATATTTATATGAACTACAATTGAATAATTATATACCTGGACTAGCAGCTAGGTATGAAATTATCGGATCTACTATCAAACCTCTGGCCTGAATTTGTTCACCAATAATTTTCTGAGCTTCTTTTCGATCTATATCCTCCATGTCACGACCATATTGTAACGATTTTGATTGGGCTTTAGATGCATATAAAATATTATAAACCGTGTTCTTACAACTTGTAGTACTATGCATTTTACAAATCTGACCAAACCGAGAAGCCGTAAGACGTAATCTGCGTTCTCTGTACCATGCTTCACTATTGGTTTGGTCTCGAGTATTGGATTCAATTTCATCAATATTTGAGTTTTTTAATGAAACAAGGAATTGATTTTTTTTTTCTTCAAACATTTCTGGTGATATCTCGTCGACTAAAGGCTCAGCTAAACCATAGTCCTCATCTAGTCCGTTATCTGTACGAGTTTTTTTAAACTTACGGGTTTCAGGGAATAATGCTCCTCTTCGTTTAGTGTTACCAACTATTCTATTATGGTTTTTTAAATATTTTTTTCCAAATTTGCCTATAAAAAACATGATTAATCGGTTGCATAATATTTATCAAGTATTTGTTTTTATTATTAAAGAAATTCCGTGATTATATTATACATTATTGTTATTTGTTGATATTAGAATCTAAGCGGAGCAATGAATGTATTCAGTATTGATTTTACAATGAAAAGGTTTAAATAAAATTTTTTTTTTTGTGGTCGAAATAATGCTTCGATGTTCAACTTCAGTATCTTTTCCGATGGTAAAGTGAATCTAGTTGGTGTGTTCAGGAGGTCAAAATTTAAAATTCCCAATAATTTTCAAATGCGCAAGGTAAAACAGAAAAAAAAAATTATGGAAAAACTGTTATTTTTAAGCAAAATCGATTTTGGTTTTAGGTCTACTCTAAAAAAAATTGGTTTAGACACAATTTTCACTGAATGGTTATACTAGCGTTTTCTATACACCATTTTATTTTGAAAAAATTGAGCGTTAATCGATAATAATTTTTATGTGCGACTTAATAAGTTTGAATATTGACAATATTTGAAAATTATTTTGATAAGTCTCAGAATCGTTTTTCGTATACAATAATATTATATCATTGAATTCAAAATTAATACCTTCCATGAAAGTGACCCACTTTTTTTTTATAATTATTATTATTGAATTAAATAATTTTAAATAATTATAATAGACATACCTGGACTGAAATTATTTGTCATCTTTTTGTGAAGCTTTCGTAAAAATTGCTTACTATTAAATGATACAACGGCAGCTTCAACACGTGTATTATAGTTCCCTCGACTAGAAAAATTAATTCTTTTACCAGCAACGTGTTTGTTAATTAGCGAGTTAAATTGTTCACAAATATTGTTGTCTTTATTTTCCAATAAACTTTCGGCATTAACAATTAATCTCGACACACAATTTTGAATTTCAGACATAATTCCCCCACCGACAGCTTCTGGAACTAGATTCCTTTCGTTGGTTTTTAAATCGCAAAAATAAGTTTCACAATTGGTATGATCGCCTAAGCGATGAAATGGACCGTTACTCAAATCTTTTCGAATTCCTGAATATGTAAATAATTATTACTAACTTAACTTTCACAAAAATAAGTATAATAATCAATATACCGACTAAAATCTATTAATAATAAAAATTTAAAAATTTAAAATTAATACACTCACCTTTCATTTTTTGAGATATAGTTAAACCATTTAAATTTCTCCAATGATTGGCAGCTTTAGTGACATCAGACCGGAACCGAAAAATGTTTTTTAATATAAATTTGCGGACACGAAGTGGATATTTTGAATTCCTAGCTAACGTAGTCAACTTAGTTATATAGTTTCGTATCAAATGATTACAACATTCAATTTTTTTTATATAAAAGTTTGGTCCGTACGGCTGAATTTCGTGGAGCCTTTTTGTTACACTACTATCTCCGTCCCCTACATCAAAACATGGTACAAATATTGTTAAATAAAAAAATATCTAGCCATATTATGCAAAAAAGGTCTGTCATCTTTATTTTACCAATTAGTCGATTAAACTTCAGTCCGTGCATTTCCAGGCTTTTTAAAAAGCCTTCAACCATCAGCTTCCATACTCGAGGACGATTTTTTCCAATTTAGGAAACATTTGTGTTCTACAACTTCCTTTCTCGACGCTGATCTCTGGCAAACAACACAATATTTGTTGCGAATACCAACAAACAAAACTTTATTGGTCTTATGGCCAATTATTGTTGCCTGTTAGATTAAAATGTAATAACTAAACTATAACTATTAACAGATCCACATACATATTATATTGAGTACAAATTAAAATAACTTACAACACCAGATGACGCGTCATACTTTGTCTTATAGCTCCGTTTGGACCATTGTCCATCCGCAACTACTGTAATCATAGGAATACCATCAACATCTATATCACCACAGTCTAAAGCTATTCTCTTTTCTTCCTCGCCAGCCTTTTTCATTTCTTCCCATGCAGTATCGTGAACAATTTCGGCTATAGAAGCCTGTGTTTTAACATAACTACTACATGACAATGATGGTAGTTCTAAAAATGCTGTGAATTCGTTCAACTGAGTAAGTCCAATTCCTAAATTTAAACGTATATTATTTAACCTATACATTTCAAATTTATTGTTTAAAGCTAAATATCACCCAATTATAGTGTATATAGTATATACACTATAATTACATTATATACCTATCCATATTTAATTGGTTACTATAGATATGAATAGTTATATGGTATATATATATATATAAGTACAACATTTAAAAGTGTATGTATATTGATTGTGAAAAATGGTTTTTTTTTTGCATTTCTAGTAAAAATAATTCTTCGATTTTCAACTTTAGCAATTTTTGGGAAAGTGGAAAAATTTTTTTTTAATTATTGTCGATAAAAATGTTTTAGCTCGATCAAAATATTTAAGTTAAAAAATATTAAAGATACATAATCACGATTTTTCTTGATAAGTATTGAAAGTTAAAAATTTGACAAAATTCTTCAAAATGTCGAAAATTTGCAAATTATTTCGTGGTTACAAATTTATAAAATTTACAATTGTTATAGCTATAAAGATTAAAAAATTATAACAAGGTATCTCATTAGTAGTTCCCAAAAATCTAAATTCATATTTGGGACGAAATGAGGTAAGTATTTAAATGATGAGTAACAATTTTAGTTATTTTGTGGTAATTTAAATATATTACTATATTTTTACCTGTAAGGTTGTACAATTTAAAATTGTTTACTATTTTAGTGAAATAAGTTCACAGACCTGGTAATGATAAATAATAATTGTTATAATATATAATATAAAAAATGCAAACCTATAGCTTGACATGCATTTACAACTGATTTATTGACTGATATGGACTGGATATTCGAAATATTAGCGGTATACAATTTTGACACTATATTACACATTTTGCACTTGAAATATAGAATTGATTGTAAACCTTGAATTATTTCAGATTGGTATTCCATATCAATAAAAGAACATCCGAATCCACCTTCATGTCTTTTTTGAATCTGGTTAATAAAATATTCA